GCTGAGGGAAGCCGTCTGGTTCAGGATCGGTCATTTGTTGGTGTTAGGGGAGCTAGATCTGGAGTTTTTGGACAAGGAACGGCTGCATCAGTGAAGTCTGATGTTGAGACGGTGATTGTGGAAGCTGGATCTGGAGCTTCCGAGCTGGACGATATGGAGCAGGCTGATTCAAATCTAGGTGTTCAGGAGTGCACGACGGGAGATTTACAGGAGGGATCGTTGAATCCTAAGACGGAGGAATTGCGGGAGTCCAATGCACGGGGTGAGGAAAGTAGAATGGTTGATAATCCTATGTTTGAACCAAACAAAGTGATGTTCACTTTTGGTAATGTGGGTCGTATTGACGATCTGAAGAAGTTTTCTTCGATCTGGAATGTGATGGAGGCTAAGAAGAAAGTGGAAGGTATTACGCCGGTTTTCAATTTTGGTTTGTCAAATGCAGTTAAGGAAACTGGGCGAGTGTCTAGGCGTGAACATGAGGATGCTGAAGGGTGTGGTTCGGCTATGGACACAGTTTACAGTTCAGGTGTTCGGGGAAAAGTCTCTTCTGGCTCCCAGCAGGATGTTCGGACTCCGAGGATAACCAGGCCGGTTAAGAAGGAGGCTGATGAGATTGGCGCAGCTTCTAATGCGTGGAAGAAGTCCACAGTAGTGTAATTGTCTTTGGTTGATGAGGTTGGTAGCTTCATGAGAGAAGATGGTCTGGTAAATTTAGATCTTAATGAATCAAGAACAAATGTTAGTAAGCTTAGCAGGACACTGGTTGGAAGCCTGTTGGGACGTCGTCTTCCTTTTTATATTGTTCAGAATGAGCTTCAAAGGAAGTGGGGTCATCTTGGGCTTACACAGGTTACTACCATGGGATTGGATTGCTTTTTGTGTTGGTTTGAGAGTAGAGAAGCCAGGGATGATGTATTGCTTGGGGGACCTTGGTATGTAGCTGGACAAATCATTGGAGTTGAACAATGGGCTGCTGGACTATCCTCTAAATCTTTGAGAGGATTTACATCGCCGGTTTGGATCAGGTTACCAAATTTACCTTTGGAGTATTGGGGAGCTTCCAATCTTGCGAGGTTGGCGGCAGGCATTGGGGATCCTTTGTTGATGGATGAGCAAACGAAGCTATTGAATAGGTGTGCTTTTGCTCGTGTTTGTGTGCGTTTGGATTTGTCAAAAAGACTTCCTAAGGGAGTTTGGGCTAACGGGTTGAATGGAAAATTTTTTCAACCCATTGAATATGAGGGAATTCCTTTAATTTGTTTGAAGTGCGGGAAAGTGGGACATAAGGCAGAATTGTGTAAGGAGATCCTTGTTCAGCCCAAGCAACATGTTGTTAAGACCAGTGGTTTGCAGATGCAGGATAGGCCGGAGGGCTCGGTAGATGTTAAAGGAAGTGGTCAGGGTGATTTGGAAGAAGCTGATACAGTTGCTGGAGCTAATCTGGCTCATAAGAGTTGTTCAGATGTTGATAATGATGAGGGTGAATGGACCATTGTTACTAGAAGAAGAAGACCAAGTAATGCTAAAGTTGGGAATAGAACACAAACAGCTAGTGCTAAGCCAGCCGTTCCAACTAAAGTTGTTTGGAGAGAGTTAGCTAAGGAGCAGGAAAATGTTGAACAAGTTGGGCATGTTCAATCTTCAATTCTGAAAACTGAGCAGCAGGATAAGGGAAAGTCAGTGTTGAATTCTATTGGTATGGAGCCTTCCCTAGAAAAGCAGGTTGTTCAAAAAAATATGGATATTCCTTCTCAGGATCTGGGTGCTAACGGTGTGAATTCTGGTGGAATGAATCATTCATATGCTTTGAGAAGGGTGGGCAGAAGGAACTGGAAAGATAAGAGCAAGGTGTTGTCCCCGTCCCAGAAGTTAATTCCTAAACTTCTCAAATTTTCTGATTGTAAGAGTGGGGTGATGAAACCGAAATTAAAGCAGGGAAGAAATTCTATTGTTACAAAGGAAATTGCACAAATTGGCTCTATTTTGAGAATGCCACGTATGAGGAGGAAGGCTATAGATGCTGAATTGTCAGCTTCTACTTTTGAACACTTAATTAGTGTGAGAGATGAGCTGGGTTGTTTAACAGATAAGGAGAAAGCTATGGTGGTTCAAAATTCTCAACATTCCGTGGAGATTGGTGAACAGATGAATAGCCATGAGATGGTTATGGGTGAGGTGGATGCTCACATGAATGATGATGTTAATAACTGTGGCGGGGATGCTTCCCCTTTGTTGAATCATGTTTAACATCATTTGTTGGAATTGTAGAGGTGCTCGTAAGAAGGAGACGAGTAATTACTTACGGCACCTAATAAGGGAACATAATGTTAATTTTATTGGTTTATTGGAGACTAAGATGGAGTCCTTTGATAGAAAAGATGTGGACAAGTTGGCAGGAAGTGACTGGGAATTTGTTTTTCAACCGTCCATTGGCAATGCAGGGGGCATCCTAGTGTTGTGGAAGAGTAGTGATCTTTCCTTTCTTATTTCTTTTTAAGCTAATCAGTATATCATGGGGAGGTTAAAGATTACTGATAGAATTGATTGGGAAATAGCTATGGTTTATGCTAATAAGGATAGACATACTAGGAGGATTGTTGGGGATGATATTTCCAAAAACCATACGATGGGGGTTCCATTGTTGGTTGGTGGAGACTTCAACTGCATTATGACATAGGCAGAGAAGAAGGGGGGTAAAGCTTTTCATTTTTCCCCAGCTGTAGGTGATATGGCTAATTTCATGTTGACTAATGACCTTGTTGATCCTGGATTCATTGGTCCTAGTTTTACATGGACTAACAACAAGGATGCTAGGAGTCGTATTTTTAACAGGTTGGATCGTTTTTTGATGAGTTCTTCTATTATTGATGTGTTCCAGGGATTGAAGGTTAAGCATCTTACCAGACTTGCTTCAGATCACTGCCCTATTCTTTGTTGTTTGGTGGAAGATGTGAAGAAGGCTTGCTACTATTGGATTAAATTTGAAGATGTGTGGGCTAGCTACCCTTTTGCTTGGCATTTAGTGGGGGAGAAGTGGAAGGTGGAAGATCTGGGCAGTGAATCCTTTAAGCTTCAAAGGAAATGCCAAAGGTCTTTGAAGGCTTTGTTCTTTTGGAGTAAGAACAAGCTTAAGAGCCTTAATCAATTAAAGGAAGACCTTGATAAAGAAATTAAGATTTTACAGGAGATTGAATGTGGGTCGAGTGGTCTTTCTGAGGTGCAGGAAGAAGCATTGAGGTATAAGGTTAAATTGTTGAATAATATTCTCACTCGTATTATGACTTGGTGGAGACAAAGAGCAAAGGTGTTGTGGATGGAGCAGGGGGATGGGAATACCTACTTTTTCCATTCTATGGCATCGGCTAGGAGGAGGTCTAAGAGCATTGATTCCATCAAGCTAGATGACGGGTCACTGATATCTGAGCAAGGTGATGTCTCTATGGTGTTCTACAAGTTTTTTTCAGCTTAAATGGCAGGGGCAGTCAATTGTGGAGGACGGGTGGCCTTCTTTGGAATTTCATAGGAGTTGTGTTGCAGAATTCAAAGATTTCCTGGAAGGTGATGTTACTGAGGAAGAAATATGGTCAGTTATTTGTTCCTTGGGCCGGAATAAGGTGCCTGGGAGGGATGGAGTTACTGCTTCA